TATCTACAAGCGTTTGAATAGTGTTCTTAGTCTGTCCATATGTTTGTGGATGAAATTTTATACTGAGATTCACTTGAGTATCCAAACCCCTTTGAATATTTTTCCAAAAGTTTGTTGTAAATTGATAACCTCTATCCAAAAATAATGGAAATAGGAGGTCCACTAAGTCAGACAATCTCTCTGATGTATAGCTTGGCATAATATTCAGTCAAGTATTTCTAATGGGTAGAAAATGGACTAACTTTTTTAACATATCAATAATAATCCATATCGAATTGTACTTTCATATAGTGAGAGGCAAACGTATCATAAAATTCATGTTAATCACCTCTCATTTCCACGTCGGGAGTTCTATAGTTTGAATTAATCCTCTAGGCCTCTGATGCTCTATTTTTACTTGTTGACAATTTGGAAATTGAGCCACTAATTCTCCGACATTCCACTTCATGTTATTCCACCAATATACCTCATTGATGTCCTGATACATATTTGTTTCCCCAGGGTGAATGGAATATCGTGAATGGTGTACTTCTATCCTTATTTTCTCTTAAAGCTTTCCCATATAGAGAACATATAATCAACCTTGATACATGAGAACTCCATCTTTTATAAGTCTCAATATTAGTTTATTTTGTTTGGGTATTCCCTCTTTTTAATTCTACTTTCTCTGGGTCCTCATGTTATCGTTTCTTCACTCTAATGCAAGTTATGATTATACTGCATTTTGAATTATAACTCCTTCATTCCCTAAGTCAACTACCTGAACCAGCCAACTGATGAAATTCTCTAGAAATTTCTACTTTACCAAATTCAACATGCTTTAAGCTACCCATAAACTTGCGGTTGAGAGAATTGGCTACAATGTTAGCCTTTCCAAGTTGGTATAAAATATAAATATCATAGTATTTCATTAATTCGACCCATATTCTTTCCCTTACATTCAAATCTCTCTGCTTATAGAAGTATTGTAGACTGTTGGGATCTGTAAATGTATCAATGTTTACCCCATACAGTTAATGACACCAAGTATTTAAAGTAAATACACTGGCCGCCAACTCAAGATCTTGAGTTGGATAATTCTGCTTGTGTTTCCTCATCTTTCTAGAGGCATATGCAATCACTTCACATTGTTGTATTAGAAAAAAATGTAAGCCAATCCGTGTAGAATCACAATAGACAGCATACTCCTCTATCCTTTCTGGAAGAGTTAGGATAGGTGCATATGTAAGCCTATCTTTCAACTACTGGAAACTTTGTTCACATGCTTCTGGCCATTGAAACTTTGTTGCCTTATGTGAACTTATACAATGGTGTTGCAATGGAAGAAAACTCCTTAACAAACTGTTAGTATTAGCTTGCTAAGCGTAAAAACCTACAAACCTCTGTAGGATTCACGGACCTTAGCCAATTTTTCAGACCTTCAATCTTTTTATTATCAACTTTTTTATCTTTGTTAGAAACTACATGACCAAGGAAGGCCGCTGAACTCAACCGAAACAAACACTTAAAGAATTTTCCATACAATTGATGATCTTGAAGTGTGTGCAATTCCGCTTACAGATAGTCCGCATGATCTAACTTGGACCATGAATATATATTAGAATATCTTCTATATACATGATCACAAATATATTTTCAGGACTGGCTTGAATACTCGATTCACTAAGTCCATGAAAGTTGTTGGTGTGTTAGTAAGCCTAAAAGACATTACCACAAATGCAAAATTACAATATCTTGTTTAGAAGGACGTCTTTGAAATATCACAACCTTTAAATCGTAGTTGGTGGTACCTTGACTTAAGTCAATATTTAATAAACATTTGGCACCATGCAATTGATCAAACAGATCATCGATTCTTGTAAGAGGGTATTTATTTTTTATTTTGAGTTTGTTTAGTTTTATATAATATATAGACATACTCAAGGATCCATCTTTCTTATGAAAAAATAACACTAGCGCACCCCACAGTGAGGTTCTAGGCGTAATAAAGCCTTTGTCTAACGAATCTTGCACTTGTTCCTTCAATTCCCTCAGCTCGGTAGGATCCATTATATATAGAGAAATAGATATCGTCTGAGTTTTAGGAATTACATCAATAGCAAGATCAATTTATCTCTCAGGAGGAATGCCTAGAATATCATCTAGGAATGCATCTGGAAATTCATTAACCATAGGAACTGATTGAAGAATTGCTAGTCCTTCATCTATACTTCTTACTCAAACTAGGTGATAAATGCAGCCTGTTGAAATCAGCTTCCATGAGTTAAATCGGAAAAAATTCCAGGACTTTCTCACCTCAATAATTAAATCGGAAAAAATTTAGTACGAAAATCAACATTGGCATAGCATGACGTTAGAAAATTTATACCCATAATAACGTCAAAATTAACCATATATAGCTCAACTAGATCAGACCTTATATAATGGTTGCAAATTATTATAGTACACTTCCAATAAATCTTTCTAGCTATAATTGACTGTGCAATTTGTCAAGATACAGTCAACAGGATAAGTAATAACTCTGGTTCTGCCCAAAATTATTTAGTGTAACACCTCGCATTCGAAAAAGGGAAGCCTAGAAAAATTCAGAACTTACAGATGCCATCCACACAGGCCAGCTATGACCCGTGGGTTGAATCACGGACCGTAGGCAGGTCCATGGAAGGGTCACCAAAAGTTGTCCAGGCCAAGGACCACGACTGGACCTACATGCCGTAGGTGGGTCCACAGTCTGTGGTCCAGGAGCCGTAGGTCAGGCCAAACTCTCTGACTACCAACAATGGCCGTTCAAGACGTTTCGTCGTCCTGACCACCGTCCGTCGGTGGTGGGTCGTGGGTCACTACGGGCAGTTAATTTTCTGGGGCAGTTGGGTGTTTTCTTGATTAATTAGTTCCTATACTATGTCATTTTGCCTATGTTAAGGACCCCTATATAATAATTTTCAACCCCCAAATTAACCTATTTACTTCATTTTTCCAAATTCCCAAAAACAAAAACCAAATTCCTCTCCAAATATTCCCTCTCTAGAAACTAAAAGCAGAAGAAGAAGAAGGATTCATATAGGTTTTTAAGCTAAGGTTCCAATTCTTCCATTGAAGGCTAGCAGTGGGAGTTAAGGTATGATAGTTGTCATCGATGGAGTTCCCAAATTCTACTATTTCAAAAGGTAGAATTCCCCAATTGAGTAACGGTTTTCTTCAATTATCATGGGTTCTTTTAAATGTTGATTTAAATGATTGAATTATTTTCTCTTATGCATGAATTTATGATGCATGATGATTTTATGATGATTTCCCCATGAACCCATGTAATCCCCATCTTTTCAAGTTATGAATCATATGATGTGGGATGTTGATCTTCAGGGAAGAGTTTTGTGAAATTAAGCATGTCTTGCAAGCATTACATGTATTTATGATGAAATCCATATCTAACCCATGTTTTCTAAGATTTTATGATTGAAAGTGGGTTTTGACCTCAAGAGGAAAATTATGGACTTATGCATTGTTTTATGTAATCTATGCAAATGTTTTAAGGGTGCTTTGAGAGTAAAGTACCAATGATGATGTTGTGTTGTGAAAGGATATTCTAACAAAAACACATACTAGCATGCTGTGAATGGTTTTCTCACATAGAAAGGATTCTTAGGTTGAAAGGCTTTCTCACCTAATTGAATCAAAGACAACCATCTATCTTAATGAAAGTAATTTGAATTGGTTGGCCAAGGGAACCTTGACATGACTAATGAAGTCAAGTAAGAAATGACTATTTCGTGGGAATTTATGCTTAGCACCGAGTGGATATTGCTAGTGAGCTGGAAGGTCTCCCGTAGTAGAGGTCGGGTTTCCCAAGCAATCTCATGAGATGGAAGCTCTCTCGTAGAAGAGCCACTACAACATTTTAGGCCTACGGCCACCCCAGTAAAGTGTAGCCTAAACTAGCAAAAAGTGTGGCTTTTGATAAAAGGCCACACTTTTTTACTTTAAGCAACACTTTTGAGAGGGTGGCCTAAAGAAGTCTAACCTTTGACATTAGACCACACTTTTGAAGTGCCGCCAAAGCAGCAACACTTAAAAAGTGTGACCAAAAGGTTTTAAAGGCAACACTTTGTAGTATTTAATTAGCAACACTTTTATCTGATTATACTACACCTAAAAGTGTGACCTTTGCGTTGTTATTGGTTACACTTTAAAAGTGTAGCCTTTTATATCTCATCTACAACCACACTTATTAAGTGTAACTTTGTCTTATGTACAAGATAAAATTTATAAAAAATAAGCCACACTTTTGAAGTGTTGCAATGATGTGTAGAATTTTTGTAGCCACAAATTTTCAATTTTAAGAATAATAATTTTAGTTTGCATATAATCAATAATGACAATTAAATATATGAGTGATCTAAAGCACAAAATTAGCTTATAAATAATTCGAAAGTATATATTTCAAATAAACTTCGAGAAACATGTCTTTTACAACCCATACATAAAAAGCAATTGCTACTAGCAATACATTCCATAAAACCAAATGTATTCGAACAATATTAATGATAATAGTACAAAAACTCTTTATCGTTCACTACAATATAATAAACCGAGTAATTTACTTTTGTCCTCTATTCATCAAATTCAATCAACGACATTTCCCTGCACATTCAAAATGAAATTATAAGTTAGAGAATCATGTATTTCATATGCTCTAGTCATTTTTCAATTCGCAGCCCCTTCACAGTTAAATGATCCCCAAACATGTACAAAAACTATAAAATCATCTGGGAGAAATAGTAGGCAAACATGGATGATATGGAATACTGCCTACACTCATATTATCTTGGAATCTATGTCTACACAATTCATACACACCAAAATACCGTTATTCCCTTCTTGACTTTCTTTTACAAAAAACAAACAACAAAGACTCATTCTTTGCTGCCACAAATAAAAAAAAATTGAAACCCATTTCTTGATTCTTCTCGGATTTAACAACAAAAATTCTATTTTTTTTCCTCAAAGTCACAGCCTGGCTTACTCTTTTCTTTCAGAGGTACAATTTTGATTGACAACACCTATGTATTCTGCTTGTAATGTACGCAAAAGTTTCTAAACTTTATAAAGATTCTAGCTTTTTTCGTATTTACTTTCAGATTTCCAAGATTGTGGTAAGATATATAAGGATCTGTTTTTAATTAGGAATTCTCATGGGTGTGTTTTTGTTTTTTGTTTTTTTGTGTGAGCAGGGAATTGATTTTTGGTGAGGCTTCTGGAGAGAAGCAGCAGTAGTTAACACTCTGGCCAACACTCCAGCGAAGGGCTCAACCCCTTGTGAATGGGCTAGGGTTGTGGCTAGGAGGAGGATACTTCTTGGAGTTTCACTTTTAACTTACCTTTCTTCATCTCCATATTTGTCAAATTGGGCTCTTTCATTGCTTTGGCGTTTGCCTATTGATTACGGCTAATTTGACATCAAGATTCAATCTTTTTGAGATTTTTTGCTTGTTTGTTTGATATGTGAATTGGGGAGTTTCAAAGTTCAAAACATTTTTTTTGTGGGGGTGGAGAGATTAGTTGGAAAGGAGTAGCTAACCGATTGAAGGAAATAATTTGATTTGTAGCAGGGAAAGATATGGCAATTTGCAATTGCTTTTGTGGTCCAGTAGGGAGAAGAAGCAAGAAAGATAAGGTGGGTGTTTCAATTTTTAATACAACCCTGTCTTTCTTTAGTTTGAACATGCATGTCAAAGTTTATTAATTTTTTAGCTTATCTGTATGTTTTGTTGATTTAGGGGGAGAAGGGAGCTAAAAAGACTACTGATGTGGCTGTACTAGTTGAAGGTTCTGTAAACTCTAGTACTAAAACAGATGACTCGAAATTGTCTTCTTCTGTTGTTCTTTTACCTTTTTGGGAGTTCTAGGAGCAATGTTAAGGTAATGAATCATGACAGTCCTGTTAAGGGAGATACAGAAGAGGTGGGTCATCGTGGAAGTCCTATTAAGGGAGATATCGAAGATGTGGCTTATGAAGGGGAAGATGAGTATGATGAAAGCTTGTCAATGAAGAGGGATACCTCTAATTTTGATCTTCAAGCACACGTTCATAGCTCAGGGGGAGAATATGATCAATCATTCAATGAAGGGATTTGTCGTAATTGTTCATTTGAAAGTGAAATGAATGAACAGGATCATAACAAAGTCTGGGAGAAAACAGTAGGCAAACAGTTAAATGATCCAAATATGAATGATAAAATCTGGAAAAAATAGTAGACAAACATACAACTGCATCACAATCAGACATGTCAGTGACATGCTATAATAGAAAACCAGAAAACCAATTTTTTACCATTATGTTTTTTCAAACCAGAAACATATAGGTCATGTCCTCTTTTTTTCAATAACAAGTTCACAAGTCTTCTTTTCACATCTTCTCTTCTTTTACCTTACTCTAATTCAATGTTTATCTGAAACTCACACTATTAATTCAAGACTCCAAAAACCAAATTCACTTGAAGCTTTATAACAAAGAGTCCAAAAGCACTACACAACCATACAACTAGAATCACTCCAACTAGAATCACTACACAACCATATAACTAGAATCACTCCAACTTGAATCTTTTACCTATTCTAAAAAGAATTATTATATCACTATAGAGGACAACTAGAATCATTCCACAAACATACAAGCAAAAGGAAAACCAATAATGCAAGGCATGACAACTACCTTGGATATCAATAACAATATGCAGACTATTAACAGAGAATGTGAAATACAAAATACCTTTTGAAGAAGCAAATTATGAGATGACCCTAGAGAATGTGGAAGATTTGTGCCTCTTATAGCTTGTGCGCTACTTGCATCAACATGTGAAGCAAGGTTAGATCCAACACACCCTGGTATATCTTGAAAATTCAATCCAGGGTTGTTTTGCAACAATTGAGTGAATAAATGTCGCATTTCTTCTCTCAACTCTTCCTTTAGAAAAGTGATTTCATTAGCATGCTTTTGTTTTAGATTGTTAATTTCCTCATCTTTCTTCAAAGAACTTGTTGTCACTGATCTACCATAGGACCTAAGTCGACCAGACTGCTCCTTTCCAAACACTGCCCTAAATGCACCATCAGTTGTTTCCTCAGAATTTTGGCGATTCTGAAGTTCAGCTTGTTGAATAAAATTGGCATCCATAGTGAACTATAAGTACTATTTTATTTCCAGATAAAATGAGTTTATGATTCATTTAGTTAACTTTAATTGACATCCCTTCCGAGCAAACTGTCTATCGACTGCATTTTAAAATAAAATTGTCACCCGCTCTCAACAAATCAACAATCCTATAAATTTTTTTAAGAAGTAAAAAAATCTAACAACTTTTCCTAGAAAACAATTCAACGACATCGACAAAGAATTGATATCTCCTCACACTTGCACAAGAAGAAGAAGAAGACAACATACCTGATAAAATTGAATGGAGTCAAACTTCCCCCAATATATAAAGTTTAAGTCTGAATGAAATTCACTACTAATCCTCTTTAAAAAACATACTATTGCAACTTGGGTATCAACCTGGATTTCCTTTCCTGTCTTGGTACGAGTTGCAATAAACATTTCAGACTTTCATGGTTCTTCGTTGTTGTCTTTGGTTGCACGCTATAGATTATATCAAAAGAAATTTAAAAAAATATCAATATGTTCTAATAAAGTACAAAAAAAATGAAATTCAGATTTTTGAAGAAATGTCAGCTAAATATTACTAATGCCACGCGTACTCTTGCAAAATTAATAGGTCCTATTCGATGCCTCCACTTTTGTTTTTTCTTGTTTTGAGACTTCATCTCACATATGGCCTATTATTAAATAAAAAGAGATAATTGAATTGATAATTAAAAAAATAGATATGATGCAAGATATGTCGATGAGTAGAAATGCACTATTTTAGCCTTACTTGAACAGTTGGGTGTCTCTAATACTCGATAAGCTGGCAAAATTGATTTTCTAGCATTCCATCAGGACGTTTTGCTAGCATATCCTCAAGGGTATTTTTTTTGTCAAAACATTTCTCTTTAATTTTTTGCTTGTGTCGCCTCCAAACATCATGAAGATCTATCATCACCCAGTTCTTTCCTTCTACTGGAATTAGAAATTTGGACTATGCAAAATAAAATATATTTAGCTTCAGTAAGTAAAAACAAACAATAAAATATGCAATCTCAAAAGTAATTGTTCTTACATTGATATATTTCCACATGCGCTTTTTAGTATCATTTGGCACCGCATGCCAACTAGTGTACATCAAACTGATGAATCTAGGATTCCTTGCAATTGTTCCTATAAAGTTGCTTAATTCTGACACTATCTTATTAGTTGGTCCCACTGCTTGTCCTTTATCAAATGTCACCGCCTTTCTTTTTCCAAATTTCATGCGTGAATATCCGTACATGTTGTTTTTCCTCGAACTTTTTTTGGCTTTGATATTTCTAAATTGATGTAACAGATAGGAAATAAGAAATTTCTTTTATAACGAGTAATAAATATTACAAGGTTAAAGACATATACCTTTTGTACTACAATCAATGCCAATTTCCTCTTCTACATCATACTCATCTCCACCGAGTACTTCTTGATCCACAAGATCATCCAATCCTTTGTTGTGTTCATTAATAATAGGAGCATGCATAAATTCGACATAAGATATTGTGTGGTTATCACATTTTGTTTCATCAGCTAGGTTTATCCCTTGATTTTTCTGAAACTGATAAAGACGATTAGCTGGTATGACCGACTTCCTCTTTACCTGCTTGCAATTTGGTACATCATGAATATCATGTTCATTGTGTATCCGTTGCTTATCCAGAAACTGATCAATACTTGTGGATGGTAGGACCGACTTCCTCTTCACCTGTTTGAAGTTCAGTAGATCCTCAATATCATGTTGTACCTCTCCATTACCTAGTATTGTTCCAGTCACATGTACTGAAGCAGTAACACCTACCTTGAATGACGTTTGGAACCTAGAGTTATTCATAGGAAGTTTAATTCCTTTCTCTTCAATGGACTCTCCAGATTGAAATAACCTCTGTTTAGTTTGTCCTTTCCCTGCAATGGTATGTGAGGTTCTAAGCTCTTCCCTTGAAGATGATTGAATTACTGATTTGTGCCCAAGCAATTTACTCTTTCCTTGATGTGGAATGAAATCCTCAGAATTCTCTCTTTTATGTGGTATTGGTGCCTGCTCTTTCTTCACTCTATCAATGCGTTCATTTGCAAGTTGTTCTCTCTTATTCTTGAATTTGTTGGCCAATTCAGCACTTGATCGGTATTGCATATCAAAATCCAGATTCTTCAATTGACTTTGAGCTTTGTTTGGATTCGAACCCTTTTTCTTTAGTATTGCTGACTGAATCATTCTTCCCACTTTTTTTGATATCTTTCCCTGCAGTAATTTAACCTACAAAATAATAATTCATTAGAAAATAAGAATAAAGTTTCCTTGGATTAAGGAGGTTCCTTCTTAGGGGAAAGGAATAGTGGCCTTGCTACAGTCATACAAGCCTAGTCTATAATATCATGTAGTGAACTGGAAACCACCTGAAATGGGTTGGATTAAGTGTAATACTGATGGAGCGAGCAAAGGAAATCCGCGCCAAAGTTCTTATGGTATTTGCATCAGAAACCACACTGGTGAGCTACTTTATGCAGAAGCGCAAAGTATAGGAGTGACTAACAACATGGATACAGAATCAATGACCATCTGGAAGACTTTACAATATTGTTTGAGCCAAGGATTACAACAAGTGAGTATGGAAACAGACTCCCTTATGTTGAAAAACATATTGGTAAGAAACTGGAAAACTCCTTGGGAATTAGTGGAAAGAGTAGAAGACATTCAGGAGAAGTAAGAAACTGATACAAACTAGCAGCTCACTATTTCAGTCACAACAACGCATAATGCAAATAAATGACAGGGAAACTAAAAGTAAGCCATCGTATTAAGATTTTTCAACTTAAACTAATGCTTCCAATTGACGTTCATTTTTCTTGACAAATTGATATGCAAAAGAAGTAAACAACTACAGACGATTTAAAATATAAAAAAAGGACTACAACTAAGCAAACTTGTACAAAATAAAAGAAAACAAGAGGAAATTTAATCATTTAACTGGGTTATCAGTATTTGGGAAATACTAAACATACAACCAGATTTCATAATTGGCTACAAACAGTAAGCAGGAAACTAATAAAACGAGAATCTTGATTCACTTTTACGAGGCTTTCTTTGAACTGAAATGAACCTTTTATGATGACCACAAGAATAGCACGACATAATAAGACAAAGAAGGTCAAATCATTAAATCATTAACTACTTCACAAATATGGAAAAGTATAAAACTACAGAAAAAAATATAGTTACATAATGGATTTGCAAATCCACATCCAAATTAGAAATCAAATTAAGTAAAACACACAATCCCTTCAAAGTTCACCTTTGGAGCTTCTTTGCTGCCTTTTTTTGAAAAGTTCATAGAATATTGCTCTGAAAAATCACTTGATGAACTGGTGGACTATGAAGCACAATAATGAGGCTCAAAAGATCATGATTCATTCCCTACCTATTTTTATTAGTTGGAATTTATGGAAAAAATAGATGCGCAACTAAATATGTAGGGCAACAGTCCAGTATAGTGAGGGTGAAGTTCTTAATTTTCAAAGATATCAAACACATTTTCACCAGTCTTTCCATATCTTAACTAACCAAACAACTGGACATAACTGATATTACTCATGGAGAAATGTAGGCAGGAAGTA